GCGTATCTGGACCAATGGACAGTACATACGTGGCACCCCATGATTGGAAGCCCTGAGACTTATAAACTAAGAGCAGGGGCCTCGGGGGGCGGGGGGGGGAGAAGACAGATGTGAGAGAGCAATAAAGAGCTGCACAGACACAACCAGTGGTCACGTCTTCCTTGCTGGCCTCCAAGCCAATCAGCAGCCCCTTCACTGGCTTTCTCTGCAGTCTACCTACTTGACAGCCTCTGGGGAAGGTTGGTAACACTTAGTTCTTTCCCAACTGCACAGTCAGGACAGTACGTGATAGAGCCTGACAGTAGGATGAGATGTATGAGACAGCCTAGGTAAGTTTTCATTTTGATCCACATGAGGAGATTTTAGAGATTAAGGAGGGAGAGAAAGAAGCCAAGCCAAGTCAACTCCTAGAAAAAACAAACTCAACCCTGGATCTTAAGAGTGACTGGAGGGGCTGGGGAGATAGCTCAGCTGTCTAAGCACCTGCCTGGCAAGCACAATGACCTAAGTTCAATCCCCAGTACTGTACACCTCGCCAGTCCTAGCATCCCAGGCGCACTGTGCTGGCCACCAAAACTGGGTGTAGAAGCGCACTCCTGTAATCCCAGCACTTGGGAGACTGAGATCCTTGGGAGGATCACTACAAGTCTGATCTGCGTAGTGAGACCCTGTACCAAATACACAAATAATTTTTTTTTAAAGAGTGACTGAATCCGACACATGGCTGTCCCACCAATGGGGCTGGGTGACTGTCATGACCGTGCAAGCGTGACATAAGGCCTCAGAGCTTACGCTTCCCCTCTGCCGCCTGGCGTGGCCGCACCCTCCTACACTAAGGCATCCAGAGAACAGAAGAAGGTGCCACGTGGCGGGTGCTCTGCACGCCGCCTCGCACCTAGCTGTGAAGTGCACTGAGCTCCCTTCCCTGCTCACCACCGAGGACCAGGCGACAAGGTGAGAACGTCAGAGGGAGGAGCCAGGCCACGGGAAGTCTTTCAGGCAGACGGTATTGATAAGTGTGACTTAAGTAAATGGTGAGCTTCTCAATCAGAAGTACTGTCACCGTGAAGACACACGGCCATTCCTTCCCCCTTAGAATAGTCACCTTATCAACATACTTATCCCCATAAGCTTGCTGCTTTCTGAAGCAGCTCTCGGAGCTCTCTTTCATGTCTTTGTGAGGAGTGATAAATAAAAAAAAGCACGGCCGGCTGGCCAGCGCCACCCCACAGAGAGGCGGGCTCGTGAAGCCAGTCCTGCTGCCCGCAGCCACCTCGCTGGCTGGCTCTGGCCCCGCGCAATCGCCGGCTCTGCCCCAACAGCAAAATGACCGCAAAACATTCTGACTCAGTTCAGCACCGCGAGGCAGCCGCAGAAGCGCTGCTAAAGAAGCGAGAAAGGGCTTCCAGGACCACGTCAGGAAGTGGCAGAATGGTGAGCTCAAAGGGGGGACACTGTGGGCATTGCGTGCTAACGCATCTTCTGCTGGAAGGATTCCTCAAGTATCCCCCGTGTTTGTTGATCGCCCCTCATGTGCGTCTTAGCAAAAATCAAGAGAAACTGTGCTCCCAGTACTGAGAAAGGATGGCGAAGAACTTGAAATTCCCTGCCACAACTACAGGCAAGCACATCCAATTAGGAATGCTTATGAGAGAGGGTCAGACTGGGTAAACAATGGCCAAGGATGACATTTTTTTAAAAAAGAAATGTCATCGCCATCCTGGGCATCATGACACTTAGCTCATATTTGTGTTGAAATTTCAGCTAGTTTTATCATCACATAGCAGCTCCGTCATCATGGACAGTCTCTCTGCTGCTCACTCACAAAACCAAACTTTTTTAAAAATTTGATTTGTTTTTTTTTTTTTTTTTCCTGAGACAGGGTCTCACCCTGCAATTCAGGCTGGCCTCAAACTCATGGGGATCCTCCTGCCTCAGCCTCCCAAGTTCTGAGGTTACAGGTGTCACCATACCCAGATTTTATTTGATCTGATTTTAACATAGGTGAAGGAGATCAGCTTTTCAATCCCTACCACCAAAAATTTGGGGGAGGGAGGCCGACATGTGACACACCCTGATACAGGCCGGTATGTTTACAGGGACGCCCTGGAGGCCGCAGCTGGTCGGGGCAGCAAGATCGCAGCCTGCTCCCCACACTGAGGGACACACACCTCTGAGCACCTTGTTAGACTGCTGATGTAGGCTGGGGCCTGAAGTTGCGCATTTCTTACACCTCCGCGCTGGCCACAGCACTGTCCCACTGCCCTGGTGGCCGCACTTGGAGAACCAAGCATGGAGGAGCTCAGAATCTGGATTCCTATCTCTGAGCAGCTCTGCTGGGGCCTGCATGTAGAAAACTTTCTTACTTGCAAAATCAGGTACATACCTGCTTCCCGTGAGGTGCAGGATTGTGCAGAATGTAAGAATTTCTCCACACGCTGCCATTATTATATTAACTGCTGCATTCTTAATGAGCCACTGCAGAGGCTCACACGGCTGTGACCTTAGAAATCAGCATGGGATCAGAGCTGGTTTTTTAGCTGCATAAACCCTATTGCCTTGTTCTAATCATATATTTTTAAAAATTTTTATGTATTTGGTACAGGGTCTTACTACACAGCTTGGACTTGTAGTGATCCTGTTTTCAGCCTCCCCAGCACTGGGATTACAAGTGTGTGTCCCCATGCCAGGACTCAGTCACTGGCTCAGCATGCCCCGGGGGGGCGGAGCCGGTGCCACATGCAGGCCCTGGGATCGAACCCAGGTCCCTGGGCTTGCCTAAGCAGGTGCTTGGTCTGCTGAGCTATCTCGCTGGCCCTCGAGTCAGAATCCCACTGCAAGCTCTTTGCAGACTATTCGAGAAACACAGGAAGAAGACAGTGAAGCCCCTTAGCCTCACAGCCAGAGCGGACCTCTGCCCGCATTCTGGCGCAGCCCCTTGGGGCTTCTCTTGGTAACGCTCTGAAGCTACGGACACGGGTGACCCGCTTCCTGCTTTTTTACCTGCTGTTAAGGGAGCAGCTTCTCATTTCATTGAATGTGCTTTTAAAACATCCTATTTGATACCTGCAAGGTATTCCGATGTCAGGTGCTGTCTTTCTTGTCTGAGACAGGGCAGAATCAAACGGAACACCATTTTTTCTCTCTGTCTGTCTGTCTGTCTGTCTGTCTGTCTGTCTCTCCGTCTGTGTGTGTGTCTCTCTGTTTCTCTTTGTCTCTGTTTCTCTGCTTCTCTTTGTCTCTCTGTTTCTGTCTTTGTCTCTCGGTGTGTGTCTTTCTCTGTCTCCGTCTCGTCTCTTTCTGTCTTTGTGTTTCTCTGTCTGTCTCTCTGCCTGTCTCTATTTTTGTATCTTTGTCTCTCTTTCTCTGTCTGTCTCTGTGTCTCTCTGTCTCTCCCACCCCCCTCCCTCTCTCTAGTATCTGCACCACAGAAGGAAGGAGGCCCCACCTCTGCGACTTTGGTAACACATGCCCCCACCACGCACCACCCTCAGCAATTCAAGGACCCTGGGGGCCAGGGAGATGGCTCAGTAGACTAAGCGCTTGCCTGGCAAGCCCTGGAAAATTCCAGCAGAAAACAAAATGTGCAGCTCACACCTTGGCCTCGAAATGCAAATAGTGCATCTACCAGCGCGCTGGGCGCACCCTGCCTTTCCCACTGGCTTAACTGTCCCGTCTGCATTTCCACTTCCTCCAGCGAGACCACAGCCTTAGCACTGCGCTTGTCCTGGAGCCCACAGCCGATGCCTTGGAGAGACTTACCTCGGCGGGCCACCCCCTGGTGGACATGCTGGGCAGGGAGGGTGGTTGTAGCCCGGGGTGTCAGTGCAGCCCATGTCGTGGCTGTATGGGATCCCAAAGTAGTAATCAAAACCTGAAAAGGAAGCAACTGGTTAATACCACACTCAGCCGCCGCTCCACATGCCTGCCTTCTTCCACCCATACAAAAATTTAATTCCCCCTAATTTAATATTGCAGTGCTCTGAAGTATGTAATTAAAACAAGATTCGATTAATATCCTTTTGAACTATGCAAAAAAAAAAAAAAAATCACGTTTCTGGGGCCTGGTTGTAAGACTAGATTTGAACAGCATCTTGTGATTAGAAGTAACCCAGACTGGGAGGAAATGCATGGAATTATTGAACAGCTAATATATTCAGTGTTGGTCAAAATCTACTACATGCATGATATGTTAAGAGATAAAAATAAGTAAATGTGTGGGCCAGGGATATAGCTCAGCAGCGTAAGCACCTGCCTGGCAAGCACAAGGTCCTGAGTTTGATCCCAGGTATCTTAATTAATTAATTAATTAATTCTGCATTCAAGAGACTCCATCTGATATAGCAGTTAACCTAGAAGAGAGGGACAGGTGACAGCAATGCGTGTCAGAGGAAGATGGAACACCTAGAGGCAAGGGCTGGGCGGGGCTGAGGCAGAAACTTCAGAATGTGTCAAGGATGAGCGTTTCAGCTGGGACCTGGAAGGCGCTGGAGTCTGATCTCGGAGTGGTGGGGCAGAAGGGAGATAGGATAGATGTGAGTTCTTTTTTTTTTTTTTAGGACAGGGTATGCAGGTGTACAGGGTCTCACTGCATAGATCAGACTCGTAGTGATCCTCCTGTTTACAGCCTCCCAAGAGCTGGGATTACAGGAAAGCCGCCACCATGCCCAGTCTCAATCACCATCTCAGCAGGCCCGGGGGGCAGGGCCGGCCCAGTAGGCCTGATGATCGAACTCCCGGCCTCTGCATCCGCCTAAGCAGGCGCTTTAATCCATTGAGCTATTTGGCCGGCCCTCAGGTGTGAGTTCGGCCCTAGAATAACCTGGCTTTCAGACACCCTCCCTCTTCTACGGCACAAACTTCCACCCACAGGTTAGCACCACAGAGAATTAACTGACAAACTGCGAAGAGGAGCCCTCCCCCGGCATCACAGAGGTTCTCTGGCTGGAAATCCCCGCTCTGTGTCTCCCACAGGTGGAGCTGCAGCAGCGCTGGCAGCCCCTTGCGAGTGAGGGTCCCTACCGAAGCCCTTCTCCCTGCCACAACCTGCTGCCCTCGCCCCAGCCCTTTCCATTCCTGGCGCATCCTGGACACTGTCGGTCAGCACTGGTGACACAGGTCTGCTCCATGAATGTCCACTCTTCGGGCTGGCAGATTAAATGTTCATTAACCCAACACATGGTACAGTGGATTTACCAGTACTTAGAAAAAAATGGATAGACAGTCCTTGGATAAATGTGCCACCCTGGTTTGTACAAATAGATTTTCACACCCCGTAGTAATGATGTAACCCTGAGTAGTTAGTACGTTTCATGTCGAGACAAATCTAGACCAGTACTTCAGATTGTACGGCCCAGGTGGTCTCTGTTGAGGCCTTTCAACTCTGCTGCCGTAGCACAAATCACCTAGAGAAAATGTGTGCACTGGTGAGCATAGCTGTTTGTTAATAAAACTTTATTTACAAAGACAGGTGGCCAGCAGGGCACAGTAGTCCATGCCTGTAAGCCCCATGCTCTAGGACACTGAGGCACGAGGAATGCAAGTTCAAGCTCAGCCTGGGCAACTTACTGACTTAACAAGACCCTGTCTCGAGCATTAAAAGCATCAGAAAAGGTCTGGGAATGCAGCTCAGGGTGAAGGCCTTGGGTTCAATCCTCAGGGCAGCAAAAACACACAAATCAACAGGACAGCTTAATGGCTTTGGCCCACAGATCCGTATCAACCTCTGGCCTAGACTACAGGTGTCCTCCGACCAGGACTTGTCTGAGAAACAGCGAAGGATGGAGGAGACTGGATGGACACAAGGACTGTGGCTCTCCCTGGGGTGACCTTTGGAAGCACTCTCTGAGGACTGCAAGGATAGGGCAGTGCATGCGGGCAGGCTGCCAGAGGCAACAGGGAGCAGAAGACTCCCTAGAAGGTCCACGCCACAAGACTCTTGGGGACTGTCCGGCCCAGGAACAGCAAGCAGGCCGAGGTGCTGACTCTTCCCACCTCGCACCCCCATCTGTCGCAGCACCACTTCCTGCCGAGTGGTACCTGTGGAGGGCCACCTGAGCAGCTCTCCTTGAAAGAACAGAGACTGTCTCCATTTTGGCTAAGCCTGACCCTATTTCCTCGTATTGTTCTGCACAGAGCAGGCCAGGACTTGTCTTTATCCTTTCAATTGGCCTTAAGCAATGTGTCTTAGTCTAGCTGAGGTGCTGGTCATAGTCTCTGAAGGTGGCGTGCGTGTTTCCCTCATAACCTACACCTGCTTCTCTTTACTGTGAGCTGGGTCAAGACAGGACGAAGAGGCAACACTCTGTGCTACCAGCTGGGATCGAGCCTCGAGATAGAAGCTATGACTTCCTGGGGCCTGAGGGATTACATCAGAGCTAAAGCACCAGACCCCCCAAAACATCAGATACTATCTCAACAGCATAATGCAGATTACTCTCTCTGCTTATCCTCTCTGCATGTGGCAGAGGTAAACGCAGGCCACCCACCTAGCTCAGCTCAGAGTACTCACCTACTTCCCACAATTCTCAGTCATTCCTCCTCAAGCCACTCCTCTTCCACTGAATAAAACCCAGGTGCGACCCTGGGTCAGCCTCTTTGTTCCAGAAAGCCATCTTCACGGCTGGACTTCGGGCCCCTTGGCTCCCCAGTAATTATAAATACGTTTTAGTGTCTTTACTTTCACTGTGGGTTGCATTGGGAGTGGTAGATTGGAATTAATTAATTAATTGTGAGATTCCAATAATGTATCTTTGGGATTACAAATACTGACTTCTTGGACCGAGAGGAGAACCTGGAGGGGATTCCTACAGGTCCTAGGGCTCCTTCCTCAGCGCAGGACTTGGTGTCAACGGCAAGACCAAGTCAAGTGTGGAAACTAAAGCCCAAAAAGGAAAAGTAAATTATGGACTAAGTTCTCATGGAGAAGTCAGGTCTTCACTTCCTCCATCTGCCACTTTTACTTTTTATTTTTTTAATGAATTATTTATGTATTTGTCTGCATCTTGTACAATGAATAACCATGAAGACAACAATATGCAATGTATTAATTATTGAAACTGTGGTAGTAATTGGTTTTGAAACGATCTCCTTGTTATTTGTTTCTCAATAAAATTATTTTAAAAAATTATTTATGCATTTATTTAGTTATTTGGCACAGAGCATCACTACGCAGTCCAGACTCGTAGTGATGCTCCTGTCTCAGCCTCCCCCGCACTGGGATTATAGGAGTGCACCACCATGCCCGGTTTCAGTGGTCAGCTTGGTGCGCCTGGAGTTCCGGGGCCCACAAGGCATGCGGTACTGGGGATCAAGCCCGGGGCCTTATGCTTGCCAGGCAAGTGCTCAGACTGCCGAGCTATCTTCTTGTCCCCCGTCTGCCATTTTTAAAACCACTTGTGGGTGAGTGTAGTCGTGCACGCTTGTGGTCTAGCATGCAGGAGAAAGAGGCAGGAAGACTTCGAGTTTGAGGCCAGGCTGAGCTACACAGCAAGATCTTGTCTCCAAAACAATTAAATAGCACACGTGGAAGACCGTGGTGGTGCACGCCTCCTGCCAGTTGTGAGACAGCAATGCAGGCCACGCCTACAAGATGGGAGAGGTGGGGTGGGGGAAGGACAAGGCAGCAAACAGTGAAGACTGCCTTAAGGACAGGCCCACCTCCTTGTTCGTACCTCGCAGGAGAGGAGGGGTGCATGGCGAGGACTGGGGGGCCAGGGGACAGGCTATGCAAACTGAGATGGCAGGAGACAGTTTCTGAGAGAAAGCCCACAGGTGGGCTCCTGCAGGAAACGGAAAAAAGTCAGGGAGAGGTCAGAAGCCCACACACAGCCGGGAACACTCGTGACACTGTGGTGAAGGGGCCTTCGGGGAACCTGCCATTCGGCAGCCTATTTTCAAAGCATTACCTTTGGCAGCTTCACACTGCTTTCCTTCCCCAAGGCCGAGGGCAGGGGTCTGAGGAAGCCCACGGCTGCAAAAAGAGGCCCAAAGCCCACAGCCCCTCCTGGGGCCATGGCTGGAGCCCCTCTTACAGCGAAGCCACAAAAAAGTTCACTTCTAAAACAACAACAACAAAAAGTTCACTTCTATCAAGATGAGCCCTGTTGAGACCTTGGGGGGGGGTGGCGCAGAATGTCCCCTTGAGGTGTAGAGAAGTAGGAGATGACAGCAACACGAGCAGGCCCGCGGTGGAACAGCCCTGGGTAGGTGGGCAGCAAAGAGGAAGTCAGGGAGAGGGGCGCACCCTAGCTCCCCAAGTTGTGCCCAAGTGCCCTTGTGAACCAAGGTGTGCTGACACAGGGGAGACCCTGGGGAAGGATGGCTCAAAGGTCCCTGGGGTCCCTTTACACAGAGATCCTAATTTCTTGTTTCCCAGGTAACAGGGCCCCCAAAGAATTCTTACCACGGAAGTTGGGGTGATAAGAGCCATGGTGCCCTAGATGCCATTTGCCTGTGGAAAAACAAAACAGAGATGGTGGGAGGAATCCCGGCGGAACCCTCAGAACCTCCGGGGAGCTGATTGCACGTTCAGGTCTCCATGGGCTGCAGCAAGCCAGGAGAATCAGCCAGTGCCTTAGCAAGCCCCGCCTGGCGCTCCGGGACCAGCTCGGTCTGCTCGGGGGCAGACAGCAAGCAAGGATGACTCGGGGCCCATGCAGGAAGCCACAGGGGAGCACAGGCTGACCCCAGCAGCCATGGCCCCCTCGTCACCCGTGCCCCCACAAAGGTGCCGCTGGTCTGGGATACAGGGCTGCGCCGCAGCACGCCGGCTCAGAAAGGCCCAGCTTCTGTGTGGTTTCTTTGTCCTTCTGCACAAGCGGCTGCAGAGGCAGGGAAGACGCCGCCGCCCTCCCTGCAGCTCTGGCGGGCACCACACAGACACTCACAGGGCAGCAAACGCAGCCACCCAAGGCTCCCGGCTCTGTAAGTGGCTCCGGTCTGGTGGAGCAATTGGGCAATTTGTGGCGGAGCTCCAACAATATCGGAATCTCTGATGGGTTCGTTCTGTGCTGAGGAGTAGACCCCAGAGAAATCTTCCCAAGGCAAGAGGACAAAAAATGAACACGCTAGGAAGATCTAAACTGCGGCACCATCTGACAAGAGAGGAGGTGGCAGGGACAGCCCCAGGAGGGCAGCTGAGGAAACCTCTTGCTGTGGCCTCCATAAATAGTACCAAACCAGCACTTAAAGGCAAAGTGTCGAAGGGCCAGCGAGATAGCTCAGCAGACTAAATGCCTGCTTAGGCAAGCTCAGGGACCTGGGTTCGATCCCCAGTACCCCAGGCCATGCTGGCCATGCCCCAGGGCACGCTGAGCCAGCCATTGAGTCCAGGCGTGGTAGTGCACACCTGTAATCCCAATACTTGGAAGGCTGGAAATAGAAGGATCACTATGAGTCCGAGCTGCATAGTGAGACCCTATTCCAAACACATTAATAAATAAATAAATAGACAAACAGTCGAGTAGGATGGTGCAGGCCTGCAACCCCATCAACAGAAGGCTGAGGCAGGCGGATCACACTTGGAGGCAGCCTGGGCAACTCTGAGAGACCCTGTCTGAAAGAGGAGAGGAATGCAACTGAGGGCAAGGCCCCGATTTAATCCCTGGTGCTGAAAAAGAAGACAAATGCAGGGATCAAAAATTGACAATCAGGGGGCCTGCCCCTTAGCTCAGTTCTTAAGTGGCTGCTTCAACCAAGCAGTCAGGCTCAGGTGGCTGTGGTTCAATCCCCACAACTCAAGCCAGCCAAACCTGCCCTGAAGGCTTTCAGAGCAAAAAAAAAAAAAAAAAAAAATTGACAATCAGTGAACCTCATAAAGGATCTGTAGACTCCGTCATTCCCTTCGTGCAGCTCCTCCATGAATGTCTAAAATATTCTCAATAATAACTTGAGGGAAATGGATTAAGCATTATTATGGAATGCTTAGATTAAGTATTGCATGAAAGTATAAGATTAACATTAAAATTAAAAATCATTGTTTAAAATTATAACAATTGCTATAAATATCCAAAAACTTACATGGAAAGACAAAATAATGTGAAGGGGGAAAAGTAAACACACAGATACGGACCAATGTTAGAAGCAAAATTACTAAAAAAAAAAAAAAAATCATAAAAGAAGAAAGTGTGAGGGTGTAAGCAGATTCAACATTCCTTTTAAATTTTTCTTTTTGTCTTTTTGAGACAGGGTCTCGCTATGCAGTTCAGGCTGGCCTTGAGCCCACTTTGTAGCCCAGGCTGGTCTTGAACTCAAAATGATCCTCCTGCCTCAGCTTCCCGAGCGCTGGGACCACAGGCGTGTGTCACCATACCTGGCTAAATTTTTCTTATACATGTGCCTCCGTTTGTAATTTCAACAGGTGGATGTGCTCTGTACTAAAGTACTAAAGTCCAATACTAAAGACGTACTAAAGTCCAGTGGGGAGTCAGGGTGGGGCAATCAAACAGCAGCCCTGTAATCAGCTGGGGAATATGCCCCGCACTTGGTGCTGGGGTCTGAGGAGGGAGGCACATGTGGGGTGCTAGGGAGAACCCCTCCCTGCAGCCAGCAGCATCAGGCTCTGGAGCCAGACAGTTTGGGACTCAGCCCACAGCTCTGAGGATGAAATGAACGCAATACAATAAGGACAGTGTGCCCTGTGGGAGCCTCAGGCAAGGGTGCCTGGGTGTTTGTTTTAACATAATTATGCCTTGGGGTATAGGGAGAAAGGGACTGAAAAGAGAAAGGTCAGGCCTGAATTGGTACTCCCGCTGTCACCCAGTGAGCGGCTTACCCTTCTGGGATAGCGAACCTCTCTCTCCAGTTTGAGCTCCTAGGAAGGACATCAGGTTTGCTTATTTATGTTTGCTTGTTTTTTGGCTGGATGGATGGCTGGCACCAGGGATTAAAGCCAGGATCTTCGCACTGAGCTACATGCCTAGCTCTTTTTTTATTCTTTTGAGACAAGATCTTGCTAAGTTGGCCAGGCTGGGCTCAGACTCACAGGCTTCCTGACTCAGCCTCCCAGACCGCTGGGCTGGCCTGAGTGCAACACCACATCTGGCAGGGAGTCAGGCTCTGGGACACAGAGGACAGGGCTGGGCCAACACGGAGTGCAGGCCCTTTGTCTGGGGACCTTTGGTCTGGGAAGAGCGAGCTCTTATAGGCTAGCGCAGGAGACTCCAGGAGCCACAGCCACGGGACTCTTGCCGTCATGTGTGTGTTAGCACATTTTACCATTTACCATGAGGGAGGGAGGCAGGAGTCCCACAGGATGCAGCTCTTTGAGAGTCAGACTAACAAACACAGGCAGCTTGGAGACGCTGCTGGGACACTGGGTTGCCTCAGCACCTGCAGGGAAAGGGCAGGGAAGCGAAGCCCCCGAGCCAGGCAGTGGCCAGCCACTCTCTGCCTGGGCTCCAAGGCAGGCAACGCTGAGCAGGTCCCTTCGTGGTTCAAAACTCATATAGGCTCTCACCTATATGCCAGGCAGTGGTACTTGCCCAGGCATCCGCAGACTCTGCTGCAAATGCAGACTTTTCCCGAGGACCCGGAACATAATCGATGTAGAATACAAAGTGCCTAGGTGACATTTAAAAGAAGAGGCGGTCACTGGGCCACCAGGCTATGCCTGCTGCTGGCTTCCACCCCCATAGCCACAGCCAAGCTCGCTCACCCTGCTAACAGAACCGTGGCTTCATTTGGGGCGGACGTAGAGGATCCCAGCGCCCGAGACCAGGCCAAGGATTCCAATTCTACCTCACTTCTTTCCTACGTTCCTTGCAGCCCAGCGGCCTGTGACCCAGCTTGAAGCGCAGTTCTGGAAGTGCTACATTATCTGGGAAAAGATCTGCTGTCTTGATAAAAAGAGGACAAATTCCCTCTTGATACAAGTGCAACTGCCTCTCCTCTCTTCTGCCCAGTTCCAGGAGCAGAGGGCACTGAAGTGGCTGTGTCACAGTCCTGCGACAAGAGGCAGGGTCAGTGGCCAACATCCTAAGGGGAGAAGAACAGGAGAGGAAGCATTCAGCTCCTAAAGCCACTTTCGAGCAACAGAACTAATAAAAATAACCACATAAGGTGTAGTCTGTTCTGATGGTAGGCAATCGCTCTGTACACTCTGACCTCTGGGGTTTTTTTGGGGGGTGGGTAGTACTGAGGATTGAACCCAGAGCCTCCCCCTGATCCACCCTAACATTGACCCTACATCCTTACCCTTTTTATTTTATTTTGAGACAGAGTCTTGCTAAATTGTCCAGGCTGGCCTTGAACCCAAGCTTCTCCTGCCTCAGCCTTCAGAGAAGCTGGGATTACAGGCACTCACCACCATGCCTGGCTGGCTCCATACCCATACACATTATAACCCACTGTTAGGTCTTTGCTGTTATGACAGTCGAAAGCATTCCTGCTTCATTCAGCAAGAAATGGACAAGACAGCAGGCACAGCACACGAGGCGGTGTCGAGCTGAGGCTCCGCCGAGAGGCCGACCAGGTCCCTCTGCGAGGCCAGCGTTACCTATCATGCCGGTGACATAGCCGGCTGGCTGCAGCACCTCTGCCAAGGTGGTTTCGTTGAGCGGGAGGCCCCCTAGAGAGGCGACTGCGAAGTTGTGTGTGACTCCGTTGCGAAGACCCAGCCGGCCAGTGAGCAGGGAAGCTCGGGACGGCGAGCAGGTGGATGCAGCCGCATGGAAGTCCACAAACCTGCAAAGAAAGGAGTGTGGTCAGGCTGGGGCCAGCGCAGGGTGCCAGGCCTACAGGGATGGTACCCGCTGTCCACCAGCCCCAGGATTCCAGGGCTGGGGAAAGCAGCACTATCGACCGCCCAGTGGTGGGGCAGGGCAAGAAAGCGAAGCTGGAGAGGTAACACGGTCCAAAGTCACAAGTTTATTCTGATAAATGCCGCCCATATGCTGACATGGAAAAGAGGCCATTTGTCACCCTTAGAGGAGAACATGATACCTCCCTAACAATTTGTAATTAAAGGGAAGGACCCTGTGGAGTAACCCACAACCACTGCCAGGTAACGAGGGACACCACCCTTCACTGGAAGATGGCAGCTAGCTCCCACAGAAGGGATGGCAGCCTTAGGAAGTCACCGTTTGCCTCCAATCCCTCATCTAATCACTGATGACCTGTGCATGAGGCTGTTCACACGGTCGCCCAGTGTGACTCTTGGGTCACTCCTAAATTGGACGGAGCTGGCAATTACTTCCTTATCAAACGACGAGCCTGAGTGTCGCTCATAATGAGCCCCTGACCTTGTGTATCTCCTGATGCGATGCAATATGAAATTTATATAATCGAGGATTCTGGCCAGAAACATTTAACCTGAATCTAATCAAACGTCTGGACCTAATTTCCAGGTTACAGGAAACACAGTTAATAGAAAAACAAATTAAATAACAGCATAAGGAAATTATGGAACAAACCCGGACCTCGGCATTTCTGCAAAAACCCTGGTCTAGTCCCTTCAAAAAATCAGTTTCATGGGAAAAAATGAGATGGGGGGATGTCAGGGCGGGTGACAGTCTAGACACCAGAGAGACAAAGCAGATTTCACGCACAGCATCCAGCCGGCTCTCACTTCAGATAAACTAGCAACACATTTGGGAGACAATAAAGAAGTCTTAATGTTGCCTAGGTGTATGAGATTAGGAAATTGTTGTTCACGTTTTTAGTAGAATAAAGGTACTGCAGGCATGTGGAAGATACCCATCGCAGCATTTCTGATGAAAGAACATTCTGTTTGCATTCTCCAAATGATCCAGAGGGAAAAAAGAACTTATTTGTTGCTGTGACAAGTATAAGCAAAAATAGCAAACTATTAACTGTGGATGCACATTCTGGTGTTTATCTTACTCTTATTATTAGTATTAGTATTATTTTTGGAACAATACTGGAGATTGAACCCAGGACCTTCACACTGAGCTATACCCCTACTCCTTTTCAATTTTATTTTTATTTTTAGACAGAATCTTGCAAAGTCACTAGGGTGCCTAGGCTCGGCTTAAACTTGTGATCCTTCTGCCTCAGCCTCCCAGCTTGAAATTTTTAATATTTTTTTTTTTAAATTATGGAGTTCTAGAGCTCACAGCAAAGGGCAGCGACAGAAAAAGTGCGGGGCCACTGCTGGAGGGGAGGGAGGAATGGCGTGAAGGAGGTGCTGCAGCTCCACGCCTCACTGGGTCAGACTGTGAGGAGTGGGGGCCGGGGGAAGCTCGGCCGCCAGGCAGGGCAGAAGGGAGGCCGCGAGCATGAGGGCCTGCTTCGCCGCCAGGGAGGCCGAGGTGTGATCTGTTTAGCTGCGCCGCGCTGGGTGTGGTGGTGCACGCCAGTGATTCCTGACACTCGGGAAGCTGAGGCAGGAGGATCAACAGTCTAAAGTAAGCCAGCCCGGGCAACTTAGTGAGACCCTTTATTGAAGAACAAAAAGCAGCTAAACCTCACTTGACATGGCTTCTGCGGCCTCTCTGTGGCCTTCAGGACCACTGTGACCCTGAGCATCTCCATATTCTCACACCCTCAGGACTGTGCCGGAGGGAAACCCCACCTGGGTTAAGTCTGCAGGACCCAGAGCCCTGCCCTCCTCTGAGCCCCGCCCTCCTCTGATTGAGCCCCGCCCTCCTATGGCTAAGCCCCGCCCACCTCTGACTGAGCCCCTCTCCCCTCTGGCTGAGCCGCGCCCTCCTCTGACTGAGTCCCGCCCTTCTCTGACTAAGCCCTGCCCCTTTTGACTGAGCCCTCCCTCCCTGGCTAAGCCCTGCCCCCTATGACTGAGCTCCTCCCCCCTCTGACTGAGCCCCGCCCTCCTCTGGCCAAGCCCCGCCCCCCTCCGGCTAAGCCCCGCCCTCCTTGGACTACTCCCTGATACGGGCAACAGGGGTCCCCAGACCAGCACAGTGGATTCTTTTCTTTGCTCTGCTTTTCTTTTCTTTAAGCAAACAAACAAAAAAAAAATACTATACTCGAGCCTAGAAATTCTAAGACAAAGGCCATTTAAAAAAATCTTATAGTTTATCAATAAAACTGTAGAAAAAAAAAAATCTTATAGTCCAATTACCATATTTGACCCAGAAATTTGACTCCTAGGAACTATTCTAAAAACTTAAATCAGATCCTCTAACAAGTACTAATACACGCATATTCCCGGCAGCACTACTCACAATAGCTAAAAGGTGAAACTCGCCAAACGTCCATCCACAGAGGAATGGATATAAACACACCGCGGTACACCCATCCAGAAAAATAACTGCTTAGGCGGTGGAGGTCCTATTTGGGGGTCAGAAAAATATTTGGAAATTCGATAAAGTGGTTGTTGTATGACCTTGCACACGCACTAAATGTCACTGAATCAATCACGGTTTCACGAGCTCGAAATAGCTAATTTCATGTCAGAGGAACAGCACAGTTATAGACTAAGGGGAAACATCTAAGGAGCTCCTTAGAGGGCCGGCAAGATAGCTCAGCGGACTAAGTGCCTGCTTAGGCAAGCACAGGGGCCAGGGTTCAATCCCGGGCACCACATGCTGCGCTGGTGCCACCCCCGGACATGCTGAGCCAGTGACGGAGTTCTGGCATGGTGGCGCACACCTGTAATCCCAGCTCAGAACAGGAGGATCACTATGAGTACGAGCTGCGTAGTAAGACCCCGAATTAAATAAAATAAAAAGCTTCTCAGGAAAGGCCAAGGCTCATTAAGCAAATGTCAGGTTTGGATGAGAAAGTTGCTTACTGTTAGCTAACAGCCACTTTCCGGGCACTGGGACCCACACCCGAGATTTAATTCTTTCCACGATTTTGGTCACACAACAAATTGGACGAGAACCGGATCTCAAATTTGCCCCTGAGGTCAACCCTGAACCTAACCACTGAATTAGACTCGGATCTCGTCCAGTTCAGTGTAAGACCAGGATCGTGGAAAGAATTCAGTTTGTGACCAAGATGCCACTGCATTTCGGCACAATGTCACGACCCACGTGCAGGCTCCGAGGCCTAGACGGCGTGACCACCAGCCGGGGCACCTGCGGGAGGGCAGCCCGGGAGCAGAGGGAGGAGCAGGAGCCGGAGGCCGGAGGCCCGCACAGCCTTCCTGGCCCTGCCTCCCTGACCCACCTCCAGCCAGGCTCCACCTCCTGCGCCACAGCCAGCCACTGAACTCAGGAACGAACTGATCCGCCGATGAGAAGAACGCTCCCACAAGCCTCTTACCTTCCGCACGCCTTGGGGGACGCATTAGACATAAACCGTCACGTGGATGATGTCACATTTCTGACGTCATTCATTTATCCCAAAATCTTGACCGAATGGTCCGGGAAAGGAGGGACAGACTGTGCCCTCCTGCCCCGTCTAATTGTACATCTTTTGTCATATCCCTAGTAGCAATAAATACTACCGCTTTGCCCTCTTGTTCCGGGCAGATTCAGGTTGGCCCCAAATTCCTCTGTATGCCTCCCATTTAGAGGTGGGGTTTGTGTCCTCTCCTCCTGGAACCTGGCCAGGTCCTATGACTTCTTTGACCGATAGAATAATGTGGGAGCAAGGATACTATGCCAGTTTCTGGCCTTGTAGGACTGTTAGCTTCTCTGCCTTTTTGAAATACCCTGAGCCATCACATAAGAAATGGGGCTCTTCTGAGACCACCATGCTGGGGAGGCCACCATGCTGGGAAAGCCACCATGCTGAAGAAGCCACCACGCTGGAGCGGCCACCAGGCTGGGGAGAAAGCCTCCTCTGGCCAGCGGAAGGCATCACTGCAGAGGTGGCGGCCACGGGATCAAGGCTGACCACCTGCTTGGTGAGTTCCACAGCGACCCCGTCAATACACCATGGGAAGAAGGAAGGACTGCCCACCCAAGAAGGGCCTAAATTCCTGACCGCAAACACGTCACAAGCTACGACCAGATGCTATTACTGGAAGCTGAAGTGTGAGGTGATCGTTGATTATTCCGAGTCACACAGCCAGATCAGTGTCTGTCTCTCCCACTGGACGATGTGTGTTTCACTATCAAGCCCCCAACACAGCACAGAATACAAGATGGGTTAATTCCCTGACACCATTTTTCAAGGTGACAAAGTACAAAGACATCCTCAGACAGCAGAGAAACAGCACCCTGAGATCCCAGCCCAGCTCGGCCTGCAAGCCTGCTCCTGCAGTCATCTTACAGCCGTATTCTTAGAAGTTTGTGATACCTACATTCAACAGAACACCGAGAAGGGGGCTACATGCCCACGCACCGCAGGGAACTTGGGGACCGCGCTCTGAGGCCTCGCCCTGCCCAGCTACCTTCCTGCCTCTGTGCTCCTGGAGGGAACTTGCAGTCTTCCCTCCCTGATCTCCAGGGGCCTGGAGCAACGTTCCTGGCCTCAGGTTTCTTTCAAAACATCCCCAGGAGCCAGATACAGGGCCCAACCTCCCAGAGTTTTTGTCCAAGGCCTTAGATGTGGAAGTCACAGGGAAGCAGCCCCCACGGGCTCCTTAGATTTCTACCTGAGTTCCATGTGTGCCGGACACATTCACTCCCCAAACTTTGACCTCTGCCTAGCCTCAGCTGTCCCCTTCCTCCTGGATTTAAGCAAGAACCCTCCTAGTGTACATGCCTAAATAGTGCTTAGGATAATTCTCACTGGGCTCACAGCGAAGGCTTAGGAAACACTATAATCCAGGCCCGGTTCCAAGCACTTCACATACATTAAATAGTAAG